GGAGGACAAGTGGGGGGCTGTGGGACTGGGACAGCAGCTGTTATCATGGGACATGGTGACATTTACATAATCTTTGTTGAGTAAAATGTATTAAAGCTTGGCTGTGCAATCCTAGCCAAATAAAACGGTCTGGAGGATATTTTGTGCATCCCAAACATGGGTTTTTATTCCTATAAAATCTTAAATTAGTCATATTTCTTCTGTTCTACATAATCTTTTGAAGTTAATTTGCTCTGAAGCAGATGCTGTGAATCTGGTGAGGCCGTAGTGCTGCCATCTACTGGGAAAATGTGCAAACTACACCGACAGGATCTCAGGTCAACTTACCATTCCTGTTTTCACAATTCTCGTTCCCTCAAAAATCCTGGTCGTGTTTGCTACAAAGAACATTAGAAATATGGTACTTGTTAAGACATGGTAATGGATGCAGAGCTTATAAATATTACAATATTATTATGATACGCATTACTCTATCATCAGTTTAGCCAGTTAAAACATTAGCGCACTACCTTGTGGGTCGGGGCTATAGTGTGAGATCCTGCACATCATATAACTATACTATACACAGAGACACAGAGAACAATAGTTTATATACAGCACTATAAACTCTCTTTTACATAATGTCAAAGTGATCAAGATCTGAGAAGCCCTGCCCACATCCTCAAGGGAGGGACCGTTAAGGGCTGTATTTGCATGGGCCTCACCCCCACGCTCACATTACTAAGAAAGGAGAAGAGGCCCTCTGCGTAGTGGCTCCTCGCTGTGGCTACACTCACCCCTGAAGAGCATGGTCTGACTGAAATCACTGCGCATGTCCTTCTGGCACACGGCCTGCACCCGGAACAGGTACAAGATGTCGGGGGACACATGGGTGATGACGGCCCTCTGCAACAGATACAGCATGCGCATCTGCAGTCAGGCATCCGCAGTCAGGCTTCCGCAGTCAGACATCCGCAGTCAGACATCCGTGATGAGCAAGGACTGAGACTGCTGACCAATGGAACATTACTGTCGTCATTTTAAAAAAAAAATACTGCCCACCCCAGTCTTTGCTGCAGAGCATCTAAAGGGGGCGCTGATGCCATACCCTCACTTCGCCTCCAGCACCACCACATTCCATCCCCCACATGCCAGGGTCCTGAGATGTAACGTGCCAAGCTTGGCCCAGTCACATCATGATCAGAGGATGTCGCCAGTTAAATACATGCCAGAGCAGTCTTACGCTTACAGATACTGCCCCCTCCCATCAGCAGCAAGGGCATGAGGGGCTATAATTCATACAGAGGGGTCAACCTTATTGTGAAGTGTTGGAGCCCCAACATGGGTTGTTCCCTGCTTTGTGCACGTAGCCTCTGGGATAGGCTCTGGACTCCCGTGACCCTGAACAGGGCAAGCGGTTACAGAAAATGTATGGATGGATGGATTGGTCAACCTTATCATTACCGAATGATATGTTTTGAATTACTGATTGACAAGAGCGGGGGAACTCCAGGGCCCAATCAGCTTTCAGCTGGGGCCAGTGCCCGTGTGATCCTGCCCCTGAACACATCCTGCCTCCCACTCTGCCTCGTGGCGTAAACAATTTTAGAGGCACACTCTTAAGATCTGAGACCGTAACACAAAACCGACAGTATTTTTTCACTGATAAACAGATGTCGCTGTCCTCTTTGTCCAATTCAGTGCTGCAGGTTTACTAACATTAAAGCTAGTTTGGGCCAGGCGTATATATGGTTTGTAGGCGGCAGGGTGTATCAGTGGGTAACAGTGTTACCTCGCACCTACGCTGTGTGTGTGCAGTTACTCCGCATTCCTCCTGCAGCCTAAAGCCATGCTGTTAGCATAATTGGCATCGCTAAATGGCCTGTATTACATGCGCTCTGCGATAGACTGGCATCCCATCTAGGAGGTTTCCTGGTCCTAGAAAAGCGGATGGAATACGGATGGACTAACGGACGTGCTGCTGAAACCTCAGCGGGTTTAAAATACTCAGCGAGTGTACGGCACAGTAAACCGGATTTAATATGTCGCCATGACGACTTCCTCCACTCCTGCAGAAACCATCCATCTATATTCCAGCACATCAGAGTCAGCTGTCCATCGCGCTGTCTTTTCCAATCTCACCCTAATGACCGAAACATCCAAAACCATTCCATGAATGGTCTGATCCCATTGAGATGTGGAAGTTGATCCAACATTAACTGAGTGAGCAAATCGCTATTATCATAATTTACATCAAGAGTAGGCATTGGTCCGAGAGCTTCCCAAAGGAGTAAATCCTACATTAAGTAATGGCGTTTGTTCATCGCCAGTCTCTCCTCCCTGATTTATGCCACGTTCCGCTCAGTTTAATTTTGTTAAGGATCCCTCCCCCAGAACGTGCAGTTATGACATGTGGCGCGCTGTAAAACGGGCCGGTCTGCAGAGCCCCCCCACTGATTCGCCGCTGCTTTCATAAGCTGCCGCTCCCTAATGTGACCCAGATAACAATGTCCGGGGAGGAAATTGAAAATAAAAATGGAAATGAAGTGTCGCGGGAATGGTGGGAGCGGGAGGGGTTGGGGGTGGGGGAGGACACGGAAGAGGGATGTGTCGACGTTTCCACGCACCGAAATGTGATCATATTACCGATTTGCTTGGAGATGACCCGGAAAAAAAAGATAGCAATCGTCAGGAGAGTCGCGGCTCGGGAATAACGCTCTCCAGATCTGGAACATCTCAGCTAATGGATCCTTAGGTTGTAGTAAACTGGCAAAGATAAAAACATGACCTCTGTCTGAGGTCTTCCAGTTCTCTATGCGACAGGCATCTCGCCTAGGGTGCAGCCTGGACTTCTGCCCCCTGCTGGTGAGGCTCCAGGTTGCCCTGGCAGGGGTGGATAAACTTACCTGGGAGCCCCAGGGTGACATCAGCATGGACACTCAGGTGTTGCTGATTTAACTGACCCTTCCATGTTTCCCGAGGTGGGGCGAGGCCCTGCTGTTTGCCAGAGCCTAAGCCTATACATTAACCCATCGTTGGTGGATGGATGGATGGATGGATGGATATTCACTAATGATTACATCACACTAAGGTCAGCATCAGAGAGTGATGGGTCATTACCCTCCATGTCTGAAATGAAGCATTTGCGTTTGGAGGCATAGTATGAAGGATACCTCTCTCTAGAACTTTCCATGAGATCAAAAGTCTTCAGCACATACTTCCACATCTGACGTTTGTAGCATCATTAAGCCAGACTGCGAGAATCAGGTGAATGCCAAGATGAGCAAATTGGGCACGATCATCAAGAGGCGAGATGGGAAGGTGGCAGTGGGGGGGTGGGGGGGTAGGGCGAGCGTGACTCACCAGGTCCTGGCTGCTGTCCTTCATGAAGGTTTTCTCGTAAGACTCGTCGTTCTTGGTCCAGCTGTAGGAGACCATGAAGCTCAGGATGGGTGGGTGGTAGACCGTCTCGGGCCTGGTCCAGCTGACCAGCAGGGCTGTCCGGTTTAGAGGCTGCACCTTCATGTTGATGGGGGGGCTGCTGCACACTGTGGTGAGGAAGACGAGGACAAGGAGAGGGGCTAAACGTGTGCGTTGTGGGGGTGCATCAGACACGCCCTGGCCAAAGCCGACCACAAGCGGGGGTAACAGCGACTGCACAGGTGGTCTTTTGTTTTACTGCCGGCGTGGAATAAATGTGATTAGCGGTGAGGATAAGTGCCAGGTTCTGCTTCCCGCCGCTGGATCCCAGAACGATGACACAGCCCTGGCTCCCTGCGGAGGGAGGCGGTTTATTGTGAGGTGCCCGATGCAGTCGCACCAGGGCGACCTCCAGGAGAGCAGGGAAATAAAATAATGCATGAGTTCATATACACACGCCTTCCGGGCCATCATCTGGCTGCAGAGTCAGGAGCAGGAGCTCAAGCACCCAGCGGGCCTGTCTCACCTTCCGGCCACTAGATGGCTCCACAAACCCAGACTTAGGCCGGGCGGCCGCCAACTCTGCATGACGCCTCTCGGAACATGGGCGTCATCTCCCGGCTCCCAGTAATCTCAAAGGCACAAGGTGTTTAATCACTGAGCATGTCAGGAAACGGAATAAATTGCTTAAATCTGAACCTGTTTAATTCAGAATGAAACCGTGTAGAAATCCTCTATTTTCCAGTACTTAAGGAATGTCTCTGCAAACACGTAACGTAACGCACGAAGAACACCCCCACTGTTCCTGCTGTTCCTAAGCACCGCTGTGCCGTCGAGATGACGGCACCGTAAGACACCAGGACATCCACCAGCAAACGGTACCGCTGATGAATGTCCTGATAATGAGGATGCAGGCCCCCACCTCGGTGGCAATTGGCACACGGCAGGAGAGGCGTCGGCCCATGACTGTGGGGGCCCAGCTACAACCACCCCTGCCGCTCTGTGGATGGATGTCCTCCCCATGGACGTGCATCTCTAAAGTGCTCCTGCTGTACGCCGCGCTGGGGGTGAGGGGGGATGGTGGATTTGCCGTACCCGGCTCACGGCGGGTGGGCCCCCCCCCCACAGGGCGCTAAATGAGAGCCCCCTCCTTCTGCCCCGCCTCTGTGACAGGTGGGTGCCAACGAGAGGCATGCGGCAGTGGTGGCATCCCGCAGGGCTCATTCGGGCGGGGGCAGGGGGACCAGGGGACGGGGAGGGGGGGGCGTGGCAGTAAGTGATTGGGCCCTGTTCCAGAGCGGGAGCCTAATGAGGAGAACAGCAGTGGTCCCAGGGGCCCTAAGCCTCCTCTGGCCACCTGATGGAGAGCTTTGGGGGCCAAACACCGCTGGAGGCTTTTCACTAAATG